TCTAAAATTAACATTCTTGTATCTCATCAAGCACCATTATATTGCAGTTTCTAGTCAATGATTTCATTACGTCTGTTACCACCAAAAAAATCAAGTAAATTTGTAAACTAAATAGTTCATTGGCATAAAGTGATTTTTAAAAGGGATGAATAATGTTTGGGTTTTTTTCCTAGCAAATAACAAATATTCCGATTAAACTATATTTTAGTACTATGCTAAACTCCAACCCCGACTGATTTGGCACATTTTCTTTTCTGAAACTACCTTTGATAAGAAATGCATTACAAACTCATCAGTTTAGCTTCCTGTTAACAAAGAGACAGCAGCCGTCTGGATTATTCTAGATCCGCAGTGAAACTGCCACACTATGTATACTCAAACTAAAGCTGTGTAAGTTTGACAAGGGGCAGATGAATCCAGGAGTTATTGTGCAGGGGTTTAAGTCTATGCGGCAGCTGACGGTTGAAATAATCATCTATACATCGCTCTGAGCTAGCTGGGGAAAGGTTGAAGCTGTATATTTTCAACATATCTAGCCTAATGGTTAATCTGTTGTCTTGTACAGGGGGTGCTGGGTGGAATCACAGCAATAGCTGACAGTTTGGAGGAATTGCTGTGGGTATTTTCAGTTGCCTGATTCACAAAGGGGTAGGTAGCAAAGTCTAAACAGGCTTGTCATTGAATGAGGGAAGTCACGCTCACTGTCACTCCCATCGAAAGAACTCTGGTAGCCAAAAGCTCAATCAACATATTGATTATTTGTATTTAATAATACAGGGCTGCAGCTTGTCTTCACCCCCAACCCTATGAAAGCTGAGCCAGATTGCAGAATGGTGACTGCTCCTTTGGAGGTCAGCTGGGAAAATATTTAGGAGAAGGAGAACAGTTAAGTTAGGGGAAGAAATAAAATATTTCTTCAAACCAAGATAGTTTAACTGTTAGAAACATTCTCTGTACTTCTAGTGCTGGATCTGGCATATCTGCAAAGTGACATGGCATTACTCACTACAGAGATTAAGGGGGTGCAGTATGAATTAGACTGAAACAAAAATGAAGTATCTGCAAGTGACAGCTCTGGCTGATGGCTGACTATGAAGGAAAACACTGTGCTAGTGTCTGGCGAAAAACAGTGCTGAAAGCCTAGCAGCTGATAGAGATGGGGGAGGAAAGGAGTAGTGGGTATCGGTGGTGGTTGTTTAGAATGTCTGGTTTTGGTCAGGATATTTTTTCTCCTTTAAAACACATTTTCATCTTCCCTTCCAGGCAAATCATGCTGAAGCCAGTTTCAGCCATTTTGTTGAAAGCACTGTACTGGTATTCTGCCTTGTTACATTTAAATTAAAGCTCAGCCCAGTTTTAAGTTACGGCAAGTGTATGCTCACAAGGAATAAATAGAGATTGCCATAGGCATTAGATTAACTACATTGGTTGTTTTAAAAATGTTCAGGGAGTTGCAGATTGCAATTCAAATTATCTTCATTATAATAAATAAAATGTATAGAGATAGAAACAGGCATGATTCCCTAATGCAGTCTGTAGACAAGTGTATATTCATTGAGCTTGAAAGGGAGTTCCTGAGGGTGGGGGTAAGGAATAGGAATATCAAAATACCTTTACAATTGCATTAATATCTCACATCTTATACACATTATTTTTTGTCTCTCGAATGGTGACAGGTTTCTTAGGAAAGTTCTATATAGCATTTACTAAAAGTAGGTAGTGTTCACCCAGGGTGCAATTAGAAAATACCACAGAAAATTGAATGTCTTACCCTTACTCTACTCTAATCCTGTTCATTACTGTTTACCATTCTTAAAGAGCAGTTGAAAATTTGGTCTCAAAATGACCAGTGTCTCTATTCTTAAGTACACTAATAGTACCTTATGGATACATGGCAAGTATCCTGAATAGTTCTAAGACATTTTGGTGGAATAAACAATGCAGGCTGCACACTCGTCCTGTGATCATTTGCATTGAAAATAAAGTCATATGTTGTATTGCATAAAAAAAAATTAATATAACTATGAGTGGAAGAAGAGTTCTCTTTCAGTAGACTCACTGGTGCTAAACTCATCATATACTTGGAAGAGAACCCTTGTGGACTTGGAGGCTGTGGTTTAACATTGCACAATGGTACAACAAATTACCCCAATCCAGACAGTTTGATTGCCAAACCTAGTGAGGCAGTGACAATATGTAAGGATGTATTTAGTTCCATATAATTAACAGCAATCTTTGTTTCCCAAATATGTTTTCTATGGAAATCAGCCCACATAGTGGTGCAAGAACCCAGTCAGAGTTTAAAGAAATTATTAATAAAAATCGATTGCCTTTGCTGAACAACAGGATGCTATTAAAGTGTTTTAGGTTCTGCACATTATAGTATGTATCTGGTGAAGTGACAGTGTTGGCCTGTGTTTCTCACCTAATTGTATGATACTGCATACTCTGAAAGCACTGTGCTCGCACATGTAGTTCACTGTGTATCCTGACATGCCTGTCTTTGTGGCACAGTGTGCATGTACAGCTTGACAGGCTATTTACACTGAGTAACCAGTTTTATTCTTCTGTGGTAAGAAATACATAATTGTAGGAGGAACAGAGAAGGAGATTATTATCTCTACAAAAGATGAGATATTCAGATATTATGCTATAATCCTTGCTTTTCAAGATGGAGTAAAAAGACATGAGCCATAAACTCTTGGAATAAGGAAGAAACTTGTCCCATGTACAAGATATTTCATACTTATCCACTATGGGGCTTCTTCAACTTTCATCTGAAGTGGCTGAGCTCTTTTCAGAGGCAAGAAGCTAGAAGTCATGGAATGAAATCATTAGTTAGAACTTTTAAATATGGAATAATTTGACCGAGCAAAAAAAGGCATCTTGTTATACCCATGCTCAGAGTTTTGAATTTAAGTAATAGTACCTGTCCACACTTTTGGAAATAAGGCGAAGTAGGTTATATTTTAAGCAGCTTAGTCTGCCTTCATGCTGAACAAGATCATGTGGGACTATTAAATATGATGCCAAACTCCAGATATGAAGCCATTACCAAAAGACAAGTATTTTTGTTCTGACTCATTCTGTGACACTACAAGCAGAAAATCTTGGAAATCTTGCTTATGTCTGCATTGAATATTCCATAAGATGTACATTTTTATGGAAAGTTCTTGCTTAATAGTGAGGTCTGGTATCTGAAACCATCACTTAGTGAACTCCAGAAGAGGCTGTAAGAAGATTATGGTGTTTCTGAAACAACTTGATTGGAGGGTGGATAAGCTTAATAGGTTTTGGTCTTCTTCCATTTTATGTGAAGATACTTTGATGCAGGAATGTAGATTTTTGAAGATTATTGCCAGTATTACTATCTATACTTTAAAAATATAACCAAATTGGTGCATATCTTCAAATACATGCTTGACCAGTGACTTGTGTAGGGAGATAAGTCTCTGCAGATATATTTTATCATCAGAGAATTGTTTCACCAGAGGAATATAAAAAATAGAAGTAGAAAATTTGACAAAACCCAAGAAAATCTAAGGTAAAATCAGTAATTTTCAAGTAGTATATCCATTATTATTCACAGTGTTTTTTGTGGTAATTTTCCTAACCTATGCTCCTAATATATTCTCTCCTCTGATGATTTAAAATATATATGAACTCTGATGAGTATGCATTATTGTTATTATAATTTAAATGTTACTGCTATTAGTAAAAAGCAGAGTAACATCGTGAATCAGATTCTAGTTCTTTTCTCACTGATTTTTCTATCTACCTCAGTCAGAGTAGTAGCAAGCTATTAATTCAGAGGTCACTGAATTAGAATGGATGCTTTATCACTAACCAGTTGAACCTTGTTAAAAAGTACCCTCAGATGACTCTTGTAATTCCCATAGACCCACTTTTTTTGTGAGAGAGACAGATTTTGTGCTTGAAGAAAAATGGCGAGCATGGGGATGCTATTTACTTGTCTTTCACGTTACCAGATGGTGTTCCTACCTGGTGGTAAACTAGACAAAGATTCCAAAAAACATGCTGACCTCCTCAATTGCTTTGGAGCCACTGACTGCTCAGTATTGTCCATACAATCTTTAAGGTGATTGACACATATCGAAATAATGCTGCAAGTTTATCAGTCCACCAAATGCTCCCTATCTAATGTCCTTACTTCATAGTACATAACCAAATATAAGATCTTAGTGGCTCAATAATATACCTCTTCTCTACAGTATACTCATTCAGAATGAAACAAGCATTCAAAGAAGATCTTCATTGCATATTTTTAGCAGAAAAACATTATTTTTACGGTTTTTAACAGATAGTACTTTTTATTGAGGGGGAGGGTTATGTGTTTAATTAGCTTTGATATATTAGCAATGGAAGACTAAGAATCACAGATAACTCCACATTTAGGAAATCAAATTGCTTAACTTCCTTTACAGAGGTGGTATGTATGACCTTCTGAAATTTACAATATGCAGCAATGCTGAATATCCAACTTTTTTAATGTTGATACCTAAACACCAGTTTAATTCCATAAGTATGCCTGCACAATTTTGAAATGTTGATCTTATGTTTTCTATTCTTCCTTATTTATTTTAATAGCATCAGAGTGCTCTACCTCCCCTGTCATTTTCAGTAGTTTCAAAGAAATAAACATCCTCCACAGCTAGTAAATCTCAAAGCCTTTATCAACATGTGGGAAATAAGTGTTGCCTCAGACATACTTACTCTAGGATGAGATTATTGCTTAAAGGTGATAATATTGTAGAATAATCCTTTTATAAGTATTCTTTCATAAAAAGACATTTTTAGAAAATAAAAAAAAAAGCAACCTTAAGAAAGCTGCAGGTATAAAACTCTATTTCTGCTTTTAGAACTGCTACTTTAGGCTTTAAAGTCTGTATTTCCATGCACGATCAAAATTGATTCATGCCTGTGGTTTGGAATAATTTTTAATACAAGGAAATTAATTTAAATTTTTTCTTATTATTTAGAAGTAAAGAATGCAGCTAGATCAAGTTACCCAAAATGTTCATATCAATTCAAGAATGCAACTACTAATGCATTGGTTGATGCCAAGTCCACTGAAGGAATCCCGGAACCTGTTCCACTTGTTAATAACCGTAAAGGGAGCCTCTTCCTACCCAACAACCCCTCGCTGCTGCACCTTAACTTACTGAGTTCTGTTGAACAAGGAAAATCTACATACTGTAGATTGCAAAGGGCACTCAGCTTACCTGTAAAATACCGCTGCCACTCCCAAAAGCCTGGGTTGAACCAAGATCTCCGTAGGTAGCCCAGTAGTTGGATGCATAAGGCAATACAGATCGGTTTGTGCATGGTTTTGCAGTCTGTTTTCAATGTGACTATGACATTACTAATGCTCTGTTAAGTGCTTACAGATGTGGGTTTCTCCAGATGTGGTGATTAATAAGTTAATTGAGATAGCTAGTCAACTAATGTTTCTGGGTGGTTTGTGCTTTACCTTTCAAAGGATTTATTTGCTCTGAAGCATTTAAATGCTAGGCAGAATTAATTTACTGGGTATTCCAGCTAATGTGATGTTCAATAACATAAATATTATTTCAAATTTCAGCATTTTTTTGGGCTTTAAAAAGGTGTCTGTAAACTGTTCTTCTAGTGATCTGGGTGAGGCAGTGAAGGGGACAGTTTTATTTTATAAGTAGTAAGAAAATAACAATGAAAAAAAGGTATGAACTGGTCCACTGTTTTGAAAGACATTCCCTTTTGCTTTAAAAATGAAATGAGGAAAGAAGTTAAGTAATATGCTGTTACAGACGTTCAACTCTACATTAAGGCTGTTAAAATCACCAGCACATCTTAAACCAATCCATGGAATATTGTCTGGAGGTTATGTCACTGAAGTAATGAACACTCTTTACTCAAAAATAAGCAAACATGTTTAAACATCAGTGTAACTTTAAATTAAAATCCAGCACAAACTGGAGCATCTGAAGACTCATTAGAATTGCCTGACATTTTTCTAGCACTGAGTCTTCCTGAACTGCAAAACTGTTATTAGAGCAAGTGAACTGTGGGTTGATACAACAGTACATTAAGTGTTGTAATTAGGGATGTATAAACAAGCTCTTGAATTTTGTTAGAACTGAGAGGCTGGATTGAGTTCCAGATCTATGAAATTCTGTGTCCAATTCTTAAACATGTTTGCAATTTTCATGAAAGCTGGTAAAGAAAGTCTGCATAATATAATATGACTGTATTTAATATAAATCCTGTAGCATAAAGACGTGAGAAATAGTAAAAAATGGGGACTCATTAACAAAAGCAAGCATACAGTATCAGAGTTGAGTAGTCATATACCACAACCCATTACTCAAATATGGTTGCCTTTCATAAGAACAACAAATTCAAGACTCCATTTTAAATTAATGCAGACACAAGAACCATGAAACTAAAATTATGTTTAATTACTTTGCTAAATTTTTTCTAGATCTATTTCTTTAAATATGCAGAAAAGTGATAAGAGTATTGAAGGATAATAAATATATTTTATATCCTACTTACTACTAAGAAACCACTTGTGAGTTATCATTTCAAAATTTTTGGGAACCAAGCCATAGGTAATGGTGTCCATTATATACTATTCACATATTTCAGCTTCATGGATTCCCTTCCTTCATTCTTATGGAGCTGTGTTTCTAAAATACAGAAGCCCTCTGCACAGAGAATTCATCGAAAAGCAAGATCTTTTTTTTTTATGAGATATGATAAAGATAGATCTCCTTGCATTGCTACAATGAGAATGTCTGGCGTCCTTGCTTGTGCAAGGCATTGCTTTAGCAACAAATTGAGATTCCTCAGAAGGCTTTGCTAACAGGTGTTAACTAGTGAGCCACATTAACTTTGGACTTTCCAGGCAATTGCTGACAGTGACCTAGTTTGAATATGACAAGCACATATCCAAAAAAGGAACTTGCTTATTGCAGATGCAATAACAAAGTGCAGACTTCTAGAAATGTACTTATTAGGTAGCTGAAAACTTGCAAAAGTACTCTATTTTAATACTGTTTTCTCTTGTTCATAGAAATTCTTTCAATAATATCTACAGTTGTGTTATTTTAATGTAAGATTTTGCACATGGTCTTGATGTCTATGGATCTTCCTTAGACTGTTAAAATAGTATAAAAATACCCTTGCGGTGGCGTCTTGCATCTCTTGGCAAACATTCTGTAAGTCCACGGTAGCAGATTAAAATAAGTAAAATTTAGAATCTTTACTACCAAGAGAGCAAAACAGGTAATTTGTTAGATTCTAGAAGGAACACTTTGCATGGTTCTTGTTCCTTTGATCTTGTAAGTGGTGGATTCATCAGATTAGAATTGAATATTTATATCTGATAAAGAACAAGAAAGCACAGTGTACATTTTGAAACCTATTGTCTGTGTGGAATAGCATATGAATTACTTTTTTTTTTTTTTTTTTTTTAAGGAAGTTTAAAACAAGATTAGGCCATTTCCAAGAGTGTTTTGCAGAGCATGTTCTGAAAAAGCACCAACGCTTGCACCTTTTTTCAATCAGAAATACAAAGATATGAGCCATAAAATGATTCTGTGCATATTCACTTCATGGTACACATAGCTAAATACTGAAGTGCTCTTGTTTAATATGAACAAACTGTCCCAGAAATAAAATTTCAATTTGTATATTTTTGGGAATTTTCTATGGGCTTAGTTATCTCTCAGCCGAACAAAGAATGGCACTTGACTAATCATCAATAAGCATTTACACTAAAGGACTCTAATCTGGAAAAAAAAAGTCAAATGAGAAGAAAATGGCTTTATCTTTGGGGATGCTGCCCTAGAAGAGGAAAAAGTTAAGTTAGTGAATAAATCATTATTAGACAGTCCTTGTTCTAATCTAAATATTATTTCTTATACCACTCTTTGGGGCATTTATTTTGGGATTAGCTTTGTTTCGTTGAATTTTTTCTGTATTCCCTTTGCAATGCTTTCTTTGTTGTGAATCCCTTGTGCTTGGTGATACCAGGTCATATAAAGTGAGAGCACATCTGTCTTTTCAGGGTCCAATTTTTTGGTCTTGACCAAGGCAAAATGAAGTTCCATAACAGGCTTGGGCAAACAGACAGACATGGCAGGCTAGAAGGCAGTCTGTAGTAAATTGTGTCAGAAGAGGGCTATAGCAGAAGGCTGTTGCTTTACTTTTTCCAAGATAAGTCTAAGGCAGGTGACGGATAACCAGGTTTTGTTGTTTTTCCTATGTAGCTAGTTGCAAATAGTATTTTTTCTCAGCCTCCACTTGTGCACTGCTAATGTGTACTAAGCTCTTTTAATATAGATACTACTACTACTAATGTCTTCCCTTTTAGCTTTAAAGTAACATCTTCCTAGGCATCAGTTATCTTGTAGTATATTTTTCAGTTAATATTAGAAAAATAAAAAAGTTTCTTTTTCCTTCTTTATATTGGAATAGATCAACATTAGTGTGACTTTGAGAAAGCAGGTATAATGACAGCACATGTAAAGTTTACATGCAGATTATCAAGTGCAGTTATAATCCTGAAATAACAAAGATGTTGGTTAATTCTTATAGATGAGTTCTTAGGAAACTGCACTTACATAAGCAATACATATTGTGACGTAAGTTATGCAAGAGTAGTTTATGACTGGCAAAGTGTATATGATTTTAATGCTAGAAATTGATCTGTCATTGAAAATGCACCTCATCATCATTAAAAGATTGCATAACACATGCATCCTCTGTTATACAGGTATTGTCTCCCCACTTCCATTCAACCTCATTCTGTTCACTCCTGTTAAAACTCCCTTTTGTGAGAAGGGTAGAGCGATGAGGTCTGACTTGTGCTGGAGATTTGTGCACAATGGCAGGCTGCATTCACATTCCCGACGAACTGAATCATTGAACATCAAGGCATTGAATATTTTACATCTCTTCATGAAGACTCTGTTGTTTGGCATGTGAGGAGCAAGAACCAACTGGTGTCTAGTTCATTAGCAAAAGCAGGCTGGCAGCTGTTATGTTGATATTGCAAATAGTACTTTATCTGTCTGGAAATATAGCAGAGCACTAATTCTATTTTTCTGTAGCACAGATTAACTGATAATAACTCTAAAAATAACCCGAATGTGGTTCCCCCCCCTTTGTTTTTGAAGTATGAAACCAATTTGAACACCTGTGTTCAAAACCCTGATATTCTTCCCTGCTTCTATTTCAAACCAATCTCTTCGACTAACATGTATTTGATTTTTATTATTGTTGGGCCTATGTTAGCCTTGAAGTATCAGTGCGTGAATGGACATAGATTGTGTGTTCTTTGCTACTTCAGTTGTATTTCACATTGCACTTAGAGCAGTACTTAATCTCATAAGTTCCTTATATTTCCAGTTGAAGATGAGCAGCCGTCGACACTATCACCCAAAAAAAAGCAGCGAAACGGAGGCATGAGAAATTCACCCAACTCCTCACCCAAGCTGATGAGGTAAGACTGTAAGAAACCCATATCTTCATCTGCTTTCTTCCTTCCTTCCACTTCTCCTCCCCCCACATCAAAAATAAGGGGAGGGGGGGTGAAAAAAAAGATTGTTAGATGGTTTCTGAAAGGCTGAAGTATTTATTCTGTCAGCTTGTCAGCAGTTAATGATAGAGCTGAAAAAAAATTCTGTCATGAAAAACAGTTTGAAAAGCTGTTTGAAAAATACATAGGCTTTAAAGTCTTAGCTGTCACCCTGTCCTGTCCATGTGTAGTTCTTAAACAGCAGTGGCACTAATGATAGCACTAACCAATCAGGGGAACTCATGTGGTTAGTTTGCCTCAGGCAATTCTCTTTTTGTTGGATTCCCTCTGAGTACTGTTTTCTGTACTTAAGGCCATATGTGAGATGTATCATCACAATCAAAAATGAACCTGAATATTACCTTCCTTTTATCCTGTCGATTGAAATCAAATCTCAGTTAATTGATTTAGACTGATAAAAAAGTCTAATAATATATGTACTTGCCAAAGCAAAGTTCAAAACTAACACAGTTTTAGTCAAGCTAAAAGCACATTAATTATGAAGTACAGGGATTTTTAAGAGGGTAGTATATACTCTAAAAGTGGGTGATGAAAACATCATCTTGTTAGTGATATTTTTCCCCTGTTGCTGTGTGTACATTATTTTACAACAGTACTCCTTTGCATAACTAAGTAGTTTCCTTCCACAGGACAAATTACCTCTAAGAGATTTGTTGAAATGAGAACTGCAAAAAGAAATTGGAATCTATTACAATAATATGGCATTTTCATTCTATCTCTCTGTGCTTCACCTTTTACCTGCTCAAGTCAGTCAGAATAGGATCACATTGTAGACACTCAGTTTTCTGCAAGGAAGCTGTTCCTGCTCTGATTTTGCATATCTTAGGCATTCAGGCTAGAACCTCAGTCCATAATTGTATCCATAAATACTGTAGCAGAGATTTTCCATGATGTGTGTGTGTGTATATATATATATATATACAGAAAAATGTAAACTTATTTATACATGTAAACAGATACATGCAATTTGAGATTTATGTGTGTGTATAACTGTGACTGCTCAAGTGAAAAAAAATGCATACAAATATATCGTTCTTTCCATATATAAAATCCCTCAGTACTTTTATTATTGACAATTATTTTGTTCCTTTAATGATTCTGGATAACAGCTAGGCGATATTTTTCTTTGTATTTCAGTTACTAGACTGGGATTTTCTTCGGCCAGTTACAGAAGCATCCATATTTGTTTATTGTTTTTGCAATGTAGGGCGTATTCAAGGACGTAACTTCTACAAGTTGTCCTCATCTCTGTTTAGACTGCAGAACCAAAAGTGAGATTGATTCACAGAAGAAAATGCACCCAGCTGTGGGGTTTTTTTTCCTATTTACCATCTATTTCTGTTAAATGTATCATTAAAAGCTCTCTGCCTTCCTGTTAGCTCAGCCTTGTCCATATGACACTGATTTACATGCTTGTTTACAGTTTATGAGGAAGAATAAAATGAGCATACTGGCAAACTTCTCATTTTTATGGTGCCAGTTGTCATGCTAGCATCGTTTTCAATTTACTTACCTTTGGACAGTCCTCTTATCTTAATAGTTTTAACTGCTTAAAATTTAAATATGTGGGAGATCCCCCCCTCACCTTCCCCCAAACCCTAATTTTGGGGAAGTAGAAGTAAAAAGAAAGAGAGGGGGAGAGAGAGAGAGAGAGAGAAAGAGCTGAAGCATTTGGAGCTGAACACTGTCCCTGTTTGCTATGTAAAGTATGCCTCATTTCTTTGATCTTGAGTAATAATAATTCTGGGGAGTTATACTGTTTTCATATGCTTCAAAGCTGTGTCAAAGTTTTGCTGCTTAAGGGTACTTCTTTATTCTATTGGCTCTTGGGTACTGAGATGACAGGTCCTCTGTACTAGGTGCAGGCTTTTTCAAGTCATAGCCTTCAGCAAAACATCAAATTACCAAATACAGGGTAACATACTTCTACACAAATGCCTTTCCTGTAGATATATTATACCATATATATTAAATACTTTAGTGTTACACGGTACATTTTATGTGCAATAGAAAGTGATGGTTTGAGGTAGCCTTAGGGGTACTTTTTTCCACAAGCAGAAAAAGCTAGTGTATACCGTATCAAGTATGGTTTTTACAGGACTTTCTGCCCGAAGGCCTTTGTAAATAAGTAATGATCAACAGATTGGCTGTGGGTTTTTGAAAAGCATGCCTGTGTCAGTTTGCATGATGGGGGAAGATTTTCAAAGTAGAGCCTGCTTTCATTGCCTGCTGAAGAGGGACTGAGGGAGAGTAGTCGTCCTGAGCCTGAGCTGTCTGCTCAGTAGCACATCAGAATTGCTAAACACAGGTTGAGCAGGGAGTGGAGAACTTGCCAGGCTTCCAAATTCAGACATTGTTTTCTTCCTCTTCTTCACTGCTGCTAAATTTATTCTCCAGCTCTGTGTTCGCACCCTCAGCCTCTCCCCAGACCCAACAGTCTCTTCGTTTTAGTCTTTATCTACACTGACTTAACTTTGGTTCAAGTCGCTAAATAAGACAAAATGGATTGAATCAGATGAGAGCTCTGTTAAGCTTTGTTTGTAATGGTCAAACTCTTTCTTTCTTTCCAATAAACGAAGGTGGACTGTATTATCTGCTATTTTGTATCCTCATAATTTACCTAAAGTGACAGGTACTTGCTTTCCTGCCCAGAAATCTTTAGTGTATAGCAGCTAGAAGTACCCAAGAGGTAAATCTGTCATGTCTGTAGCTGGTATTTATCTTTGCAAGTTTTTTCCTAAATTTACTTTAAAAGCTCCTTTTCAAAGTCAATTTTGACCCTGTCCTACCTGCCTTGAAACAGATGGCTACTTTGCAAATTTTTCTTCAGCTATGGTCCTGGATCTAGAAGGGTGCTCGAGGACAAGAAGTCTGGAGCATGAAAAGGACAAATATGTGAAAAGTTCATTTATAAATTTTAATCTCAATTGTGACTTTTGAATCATGCTCTGAGCATCCCTGCAGTTAGAATAATGTTCAAAATGCTGCATAGATTTTGACCACAGTAGCTAGGTCAAATCAGGAAAGAAGGTATTATGCTATGGGATAAAACTTTATGACTTCTGCTGTCACTAGAGCAGAACAGAGAATAGAAACTGTATCATAGGAATTCCCAGGGACATCATGACAAGTGGTCTGACCTGGTCAGAAAATGGGAGTTTTTGAGATTTACTCACACATAAGTAGAAAGTTGTATACCAAATGTGAACCAGATAAATAGATTGGAGGCATCTTTTTAATGTCAATTTCTTGATGACTCTAAATTACAATAAATTACTGCTATAAATAGATGATTGACATACAAATGTTCTTTGTGTACATCACAGGTGGTCTAAATTCACATTTAGAAAGTCACTCTTCTAACTGAATCCTGTATCACATCAAATGACATGAGCAGAATCACACTGATGCAATACTAGAAGAGTCTAATCAATCAGAAACAAATACTTCAAATTCCAACAATAGATACAAATGCAAATTAACCAGAAAAATACTCTGCATTGTCATGGTTATTTTTACCTGTCTCACATCAGCAAAAGTCTGTCCCATTAAACCCACAAGAATATGGATACTTCTTAAAAATAACTTAAACTCCAACAGGAAAAAATAGCTACTTCTCCTGTTGAGATGTGAACACAAGGACATCCTATTACAATAAAAAGTACAATTTAAATGGAAGGAAAAGGAAGGAAAGCTGTGAGTGACAGAATAATCACATATCAGGTCTCCTTCATGAGACAGAGAAGAAAAGTAGAACCAGTCGATGCCTTTCATGTCATGTAGCAATATCAGTCACCTGTTCATCTCAGTTGCAGGTTTTGATGCATATTATTGATGAGGAGCCATGTTAACTATGAGGAGGCTATGTTGTCTGAATATCAAATAGCAAAGCTAGTTTTAAAAAAAATATGTCATTTTGGATTCAGAATGACCAGTAAAAATGTGAAAGGCCTGGCTATAAATCAAAAAAGCCACTTAAAGGGATTGTTGCTGAGGCTCAAGTTCATACTTAATGCTTTTCTAGCTGCTACTGCATGAGTGGAATACACTGACTTGAAGGAAATGTCAGCCCAGCTGAGTCAAACTACCTCTTAATGCAAAAACAAATAGCATATGACAGGGCCCAAGGGGCTTGAAGAGCAAACAAATAGTTTGTCCCTGTCCACTCTATATGTAGTGGTGTAGTTGACATAGGCCTCTAGACAAGTAGCATACTCAGCAAAGGGTCATTATCATTAGTGTCCCTGATCACATAAGAATCAGAGGCATCAGAGGACACTGGGTTTTCAGTGTGTTGCCAAGGAGAATTTCGTAAGCCTGAGGATTTTTTTTGATCGAGTATCTTAAATAATTCCCAACCAAACCATAAAACTTGCTCAGAGACTGTCAAAACCCAGCTAAGTGACACAGAAAAAAAGTGAGCTCTTTGGCATACATTTCCAGAAGCCTAATGAGATTATTTATCTGAAGTTGAGAAGGAAACCTCCTGTCTTTTTTCCTGAAGTTAGATATAATATTCTAAGTATATGAACAATGGCTGTGCACATTTATCTCCTCATCCACTCACTAAGCCACATCCACTTAAATGTACATATACATTTCTGCTCTTGTGGTACTCAGGATGAATCTGTATTGCCCCTGCCATTGTAGTGCTGCCCTTTCACAAGCTGGAACTGTGAACTTTCTCACAGAAACCAAAAGAAAAGTGATGACAAATCTAGAGGGAAACATTTCTCAAGCCAATACTGGTAAAATAATTTCAGTCTGATCATTTCCCATGACTCTCTTAAACTAGGCATGAAGGTAAGGTTGAAAAGGTGAAAGCTCACTGATTAACCATAATAATAGTATATATTTACATCTCTCAGCCTTGTAAATTTCCATCATGTACTCTCAAATTTATA